AATATCGAAATTTTCAAAAATTCGCATTTCGTACCGATTCTTTCGAAAATGTTACTCCGTGACCATAAACTCGCTATATTTTTGGAACCAGCACCTTGGAATACATATCTCTGCATTTAATCAGAATTTTTAGACAACCATTCCAAAAATTAAATTTTCCACTCATACAAATTTCGACCCATTTTTGACGAATTTCGAACTTTAACTAAATACTTTTTCTTGTAGATTTCGGGCCGCAGAAGTCACTTTCGGCCTCAGTTCTTCGATAACTTCAACCTTTTTTCTAAAATTAGTTAATTAATGCAGTGCATTGAAATATCGCAATTTTTAAAAAATTCGGAAAATTCAATACAACACGTACGTCATTTTTGCAAAGAGACATCGACTTCGACTAGTCTCGTTCGGATTACTGGATGTTCGGATAATCGTGGGTTCGGATTATAGAGGTTATACTGCATACCAAGAAACGCAAAATGGATTCCTACAAGAGTATGTTATTGTATCACATTTAAATCATTTTAAAACAGAATATTTTCAGATGACGTCATCACATTCTTGGTGGGGATGATTAAACAAATTTTGATTAGCATTTTACCATTTGTACGATACAATTACGTCTTGTCTAACAAACAAAATAAGCTACTCAACTTATAATGAGATCATTAATTGACTAACAAATATACGCTTTAATAAGGCCTTTTTAACACGACACGTGTTGCGGCATTGTGCTACAATTTCTCATACTTAGTTTACAGCTTTACTTGTTGTGTACGTTGGCATTTCAATAACAAGGCTGGAACAGAAACAAAAAAAGAATAAAAACTTATCCACGTCGAAGAATCCTCCTCTAGCAATGTTTTTTGTCCGCCTACACAGACTTCTGTTATGAACTTATAGCGACCTGGTAAAACGTTAATAACGCAACGACAAACGTTCCTCACTACTTCAGGAATTTTTTTTCGTTTATTGGGGATGGAAGAGGGATTAGGTTATTGTCAACTTAGTATAACTTGCTCGAAAACTGCAACGTTTACCTCAAACAACTATACCCTATAACCTGAAACGTACGCAAAATGATTTTGTGTCGAATTTATTGAAACGGTTTAAAAGGGCTTAATTTGTTATAGATTACACACTGGGAAGTTCACTTTAAAGTTAAAAACATAAGAGTACAAACTTTACTCGAAAGCAGTTCTAGATGATTGTTTTTCTTGTTCGCGGAAGGTACTTAAGTGTTGCCTAGTCGAACATAATAAGATTACTCAAGTTGGAACGAGCCTGTTTCATTGAAAATTTCAACATGAGGACAAAATTAGACCAATAAGTTCGATCTGAAATTAGTGTGCTTTCTCTGTAGATTATCCGGCTGCGACTTCTCCAGTTATTGGAAGATGCATCGGGTTAGAGTTCAATCAATAAAGACACAGATAAAAGGATGCGCTTTCATCAACATAAAATCATTCCGTTTCTACTTACTCTACACAAGGAATGGTTGGTGTTTTTCAAGGCATTATCGAAATTTACCAACCAATAAATCACGCTGTAAAATTTTTAACATCCAAGCGTACGTTTTTCTTTTAACTTTAATGTTATAGTCGTTTATGAACATTATAACCACTTTTATTAAACGAAAATGCAAGATTGTGGAACAACATTACTCACGCTTATTCCAAACCGTTAAATTTTACGTCTGTTCTAGAGACGTAAAGAAAAATAGGTACGCTACATGTGTATTAATGCATATCCTTTAGGTAACCATAAAACCACAAAATAAAAATGCATTGTTTGACGTATGAATCGTTGCGACTCATTTTTATTTTCTGATTCGAAATAAATCGAAAAAACGTTGTCGTTGGATTAGATGTTAAAAAAGCGAGACGAGAAAGATAGCAAATTGTGCTGTTATAATACGATGGGAAATTGAACGTTCTGGCTGTTGACACATTTTGGGCGGAAGACTTTTCTAACAAGTTTTAATGCATTGAAAATGAAAGATTGTAGTTCCGACGGAAAATATACTCCTATATTTACAGTCCTCTGACTCAATAGGCACGCCTAAAACTACTCAATTCACACCATTGTGACTGTAAGTTTTAATTACCCAAAGAAAACTGAACTACCTGAAAATGTCTTGTCGTTCTCCCCAAGGAATGCAACTGAAGACGCTACAGTATGATATCGAACAAATCAAATAAAATCTCGCGAGATCGCTCTCTCTACGTCACGATCCAGCCATTCGTAATAAATAAAATTTAATTTGTTATTTATTCGAAGCGATAAAATGATGAAAAATACGGACCCAATACGAGAGCCTTGTTTTATAATAACATAAGAAATGAAGTATTTAGGCAACTAGTTATACAGATGCGTGTGGTATTTGTCCTGGAAATTTAGTAAAATACATACAAAGTGATAGGCGGCACGCTTCCGTGAGCTATTTCGACCCTATAATCATTTATAGAAACGCTGTAAAAGTCGGGCTTTTAAAGAAGACGCAATCGAGGCAGTTTCGACGAGGCAACTCTGAATTCGAACATTTTGAGTGTGTGGTATTTACAGAAGTTTATAATTTTCTTATTTGTTTGAAATTTTATTGACTACCTAAAGATAATGCGCCACCTCGTTAAAGACTTTGTCTTGTTATTTAAGAGCTGTTTTAGCAATTGAAGGGTATTTCGAAATAAGAACGTGTTCTTTGCTTTCTTTTCTTGTAAAATTTTAAACTTTCACAGTTGCTTCTCCGCGCGAATTATGAAGTTTGAAACATTTCACGTTTAGGAATTATATAAAAAAGTTGAATATTACTTGCATAAATATTCCGCCTTCTTGTTATAAGTTTTTAAAGCCTTGCTAGTTTGCAGTTTTTTAGTTTAAGTGATTATTAAAAGCAGGTAAAATAAAAATTGAGGGTCTAAATTGTGCTACAACGCCGCAAGCCGTTCTATTATTTGAAGATGGGAACAGGTTCTGTCGATTTCCGACAAATGATTAATAATGATTACATTTCCCTGAGAGGTTAACAACGTGGTTAACCGAAGGCCAGATCACAATGACACAAGCAGGATTCAGAGGTGACAGTTTCAAATGGTTTATCTTTTCGAATTTGCGCTAATGGTGTCGATGTAATACGTCTTTTCAGGACTAATTTATGGATGTCCAGTCTAATGTGGCTGGTGTATTAAGGTGTAATAACACTTATCCTCACTTTCGCGGATCGGACCGGAAAATATTACATTCAGTTCGATTTGTGTTTGAAAAGGCATAACATTGTCGACGTGAGGAAAAATAACCCAATTTTAATATTGATGAAACCTTCCCAAGCTACAAGTCTTCCGGACTCATATTTTTCTCTTGTTTTTAAACTTTATGTCTGGCACTTGTGTTGAACATGTCAAATGTTTTAGAAGTTCTAGTACGGAATATTTATGTAAACATTTCTAGTAGATTACCGTTCCAAACACTGTGTACGTTTTAAATGAAAAATTAAACGTAACGAGAGCTATTGTATTGGTTTGAAAACTACACAAATGGGATTATACATAAAATCAAAAGCGCATAAATGTGCTTTTGTCGAAGCTGCTGCTCTGTGTACTTCAATAATCGGACGACGTATTAATGACGTCCCAACGTAGTCGCACAATGCGAATATAAAAAAGTCCGTGCTCTCGAATGTATTAAGTTTTTTGAACTGGGTGGAGTAGAATTGTCTTTTGATCGTAGACAGCCCTAGGCAACGCTATATTGAGAGTGGTTCATCAACTTAATACGAAATGAATTCCTCAACTTTGTGTTGCTCTTGTTGGATGAAGGTTGTTTATTTAAGTGATGAAATCTGCACTTTTTAAAAATGGAGCGTCAATATTACATAGTACAGTCTTACTCGTTTCCATTAGTATTATTTTCTTTGAAACTTTATACATACAGAAACTCGATCCTACCTTATTGAATCTTTTTTTCGTCTTTAAATTACAAATCTAAATTGAACAAACTGGTGTTTTTCGTCTTGCACATCCTAATTTGTTTTTGTCATATCAAATTATTTTTCCAGATGTTGTTTCGTGTTGCATATAATTAAAACTCTTGTTATTGTGTACAGTGAAACCCAATCTGATATCTCTATTCCTGACGAATCAAAATTTCATTAAGTGTCGAGCGATCGACAAGTTGTATGATGGGAGAAAACACGCCCAACCGTTCATTACTCCGCTTTAAAAATATAAACACAAAGCATTAATAAATGATGTTGTTTACGAATCAGTCAAGGCTTAAACCATCGATTAAAACCGATTTTATTGTTGTGAACGGTTAATAAGTACTGTTTTATATTTGATTCAACACAACAGTTTATTGTATGAGAGGAAACAGAACATTTATATATATATTTAGATAGATACATGAGTATGCCCTCAGTGCCCAGGTACATACATAGATTTTACGCGTCAACACTTCTCTCGTTCATCTTAACCTGCCACCTCTTATCAACACCTTAACACCCAACTCTTTGTTCTTATCAGTCAACCCGAGCCCGGCCCTGTCAGACCATCACAACATCAGATGTAATAATTTTTCAAAGAAGCATTATTAATTTCTGTATCGTGAAATTATTGCTGAAAAATTACGGACTAGACGAGAATTCTTGCTAGTCGTTTTTTTATTTTTAAATGATGTCTTTAGGAATCGCTTGGAGCATATTCCCTTTCCTGGGAAAGGTAAATTGAAAACGGCGACACAATTTTGTCCTTAATTATGAAGTCTTGATGTCGTTTAAGTTTCAATGTTCGTGTAGCTGGTATTTTACGATCTCTAGAAGAGTTGACATGGGGCACCTAAAAGTTGCATTAACTGCGAGTTATTCGACCATAAAGTGACATTCGCAGCGATGATAGCTCCGGTCAGCCACTGAAACAATCATGCTAAAACACAATTCCCAACTAACTCAAATGAGTCATTACGTTGACCTCCATATAAACCAAATTCTAACCAGCATGTCTCTATTTCAGGGGAACTAGTGGAATTGATATAGATCTGCGACGAGTCGATATCGACCAGTGTCCTCTGCCTAAGGGAAGCACACAACTCAATATTTTCGCCGCTTCAGACAAATGCAAAAAGCGCACAACAGAAGTAAGTTTTATGTCTTTCACCGCATGCCTTTCCATTCATTTTTAAAATTTACAAGTCACTGGGTTTAGTATTCACGCCTTCGACGCTAACTTATCTCTATCAGATATCTAGGCAAGAGCAATTTTTTCGCGTTAAATCCGTACTGCAGCGAGAATCTCGCTGCAAATGATAGCAATGCGGCGATCTGATTAATCGTCGATGTCGATAGTCGAAACTGTCTGCCTCCTTTCACTGTTACATTGATGAAGAGCGCTTTTAGGGTATAAATTTCCATCCGGTGTCACTGAGCACGAATACATTCAATAAACTAACTATAACTATCGCGTTTCGCTTTTTACCAGAACCGTCTCTGCGAATCTACTAAATTGAACGCATGCGGAATGGCTCGTAATAAACAGGAGAGCTACTGAGAAACTGACAAAAATTTATGAAGCTTAACGACCAGCCGGAAACTTGTCAGCTTTGGTAGTTAATCTGCTACCGCTTTACATTATCATCTTGAATTATGGCTCACTAATAACGTCTTTTTATTCGCCTGTTTCTGAATTAGCTACAAAATTAGGTTGTTTGAGAATGATTCTCTTCCAACGACATCTTAAAAACGCACTCGGTATTAACTATCTAACCGGTTTGTATTAATAGCTACTTCTGAACCAGCGCATCTGGCACATCGGAAGTTGTTCAAAAATCACGCAAAAATGCTCGAAATCTTTGAAAATACCTCCTACGATCTAAAATACCCCAAAAACGTGAAAAAAACCCTCAAAATGTAGAAAAACCACTGGTCTAGGCGTAAAGCCATCAGTCCCGTTCGTTGATGATCGAATCAGTCACGCGAAGGGAAAATAATGTTAAGAAGAAGAAAAACTTGAGAAGGTGTCGGTGTCGGTGTGGGTGTCGGTGTCGGTGTCGGTATCGGTGTCACCTTCCCCGAGACCCGTCTGAATATGATGCGATGGTTTCAAATTATAAAAGAATAATTATGTTAATTGCAATTGTATGTATGTATGTATTACAGTTACGAACATTTTAACAAACAATATACTGTTGATAGGTACAGGAATAGTTCAATAAAAATAACACTGATACGTAAACCGATGATTTTCTACACCTATAATTAATAATCGATGAAACTAGAAAAGGCTCTATAAATGGGACAAAATGATTAATTTCCTGTTTTTTAGGTTGCTTCTGTAGTTCCCTATTACGGAATTTCAATGTGTAAAATATACTTAATCGCACAAATAATGACAAAAAGTTGTTCAGTGTAATATGCAAACTGTTCATATGGAACATTAAGAAAAAACAAGACAAAATATAAGCCCCGCCCACCCGCCCTGTCCCAATTGTGATGATTTTTTTTATTTGTCGTGAGCCAAGAGCTCGGAGTTTAACTGCAAAATCCTTATTTCCCTACGTGAAATTAAAAAAATGTTTTTGAGTATCGTGTTGTTCAAAGAATACTATGTATACTAACAAAAAAATAAAGCCAAAGATTTTGCCCCACCCATACCCGCCCCGATCTCAATTCCCAATTGTGATACATCTTTCATTCGTTGTCAGATCGATGGGCGGGGCTTAATTGCAAGATCGATATTTGTCTACAAGAATTCATCATTTTAAACATGTTTTAAGTTTCTTGTTCTGAAAAGACAACTACGTATATTAAGAAAAAAGGCCAAATATAAGTACCGCCCACCCACCCTATCTCAATTGTGATGATTTTTTTTTGATCGTCGAAAGCCAAAAGATCGAAATTTAACTGCAAAGGATACTGTGTATATTAAGCAAAATTAAAGCCAAAGATTAAGCCCCACCCATACCTGCCCTGATCTAAATAGTAATGAAGTTTTCATTCGTTCGCAGACCTAGAGGCGGAGCCTAATTGCAAAATCCACATTTCCTTACAAAAGTTTACCGTTTTAAACGTATTTTTAAGTTTCAAAAAATAAAAAAATTCACCACAATCGAGATGGGGTGGGTGGGCGGGGTTTATATTTTGCATTTTTTTTTCTTAATATACTTAGTATTCTTTGAACAACATGATACTCTAAAACATGTTTTTAATTTTTGTAAAGAAATAACTAATTTGCAGTTAAGTTTCGCCCCCCTGGTTCGCGGTGAATAAAAAAAAATCATTACAATTGAGATAGGGCGGGTGGGCGGGCCTACAGTTTGTCTTTTTGTTTTAATATGTGTAGACTTATTTTCACAACATGAAACTGAAAGCTTGTTTAAAATAGAAAATTTGTGTAAGGAAATATGGATTTTAATTAGGCTCCGCCCCATAAATGTAAAATTCATATTTCCTTGCAAAAGTGTACCATTTTAACCATGCTTTAACTTTCTTGTTATGAAAAGATGGCTATGTATATTAAGAAAAAACCAGGCAAAATATAAGCCCCACCCACCCGCCCTGTCCCAATTGTGATGATTTTTTTTATTCGTCGTGAGCCAAGAGGGGGGAGTTAAACTGCAAAATCCTTATTTCTCTACGTGAAATTAAAAACATGTTTTAGAGTATCGTGTTGTTCAAAGAATACTATGTATATTAAGAAAAAAATAAAGCCAAAGATTAGGCTCCGCCCATATCAGCCCCGATTTCAATTCTCAATTGTGACACATTTTTCATTCGTTGTCAGATCGAGGGGCGGGACTTAATTGCAAGATCCATATTTGTCTACAAGAATTTACCATTTTAAACATGTTTAAGTATCTTGTTTTTTTATTAAGACAAAAGGCAAAATATAAGCCCGCCCACCCGCCCTATCTCAATTGTGGTGATTTTTTTTGATCGTCGAAAGCCAAAGGAGCGGATTTAATTGCAAAGTATACTAGGTATATTAAGGAAAAATTAAATCCAAAGATTAAGCCCTGATCTAAATAGTCATGAAGTTTTCATTCCTTGACAGACCTAGGGGCGGAGCCTAATTGTTAAATACATATTTCTTTACGAAAGTTTACCCTTTTAAAAGTGCTTTAAGTTTCTAAGAATTAAAAAAAATCATCAAAATTGGGATGGGGTGGGTGAAGGGGTTTATATTTAGCTTTTTTTTTTCTAATATACTTAGTATTCTTTGAACAACACGATACTCAAAAACATGTTTTTGATTTTTTGTAAAGAAATAAGTATTTTGCAGTTAAGATCCGCCCTCTTGGTTCATGGTGAATAAAAAAAATCATCACAATTGCGACAGGGCGGGTGGGCGGCCTTATATTTTGCCTTTTTGTTTCAATATGTGTAGACTTATTTTCACAACATGAAACTGAAAGCTTGTTTAAAATAAAAAAATTGTGTAAGGAAATATGGATTTTAATTAGGCTCCGCCCCATAAATGTAAAATTCATATTTCCTTGCAAAAGTGTACCATTTTACTATGTTTTAAGTTTCTTGTTTGAAAAGATGGCGATGTATATTAAGAAAAAACAAGGCAAAATATAAGCCCCGCCCACCCGCCCTACCTCCATTGTGATGATTTTTTTAATTCGTCGTGCGCCAATAGGGCGAAGGTTAACTGCAAAATCCTCATTTTTCTATGTGGAATTAAAAACATGTTTTTGAGTATCGTGTTGTTCAAAGAATACTATGTATATTAAGAAAATAATAAAGCCAAAGATTGGGCTCCACTCATATCAGCCCCGATTTCAATTCTCAATTGTGACAAATTTTTCATTCGTTGTCAGATCGATGGGTGGGGCTTAATTGCAAAATCCATATTTGTCTACAAGAATTTACCATTTTAAACATGTTTTAAGTTTCTTGTTCTGAAAAGACGGCTACGTACAATAAGACAAAAGTCCAAATATAAGCCCCGCCCACCCACCCGATCTCAATTGTGATGATTTTTTTTAATCGCGGAAAGCCAAAGAAGCGAAATTTAACGGCAAAGAATTCAATGTATATTAAGAAAAAAATAGAGCCAAAGATTAAGCCCCACACATATCTGCCCTGGTTTAAATAGTAATAAAGTTTTAATTCGTTGGCAGGAGCTTAATTGCAAAACCCAAATTATATTTTGCCTTTTTTTTTCTTAATCCTTAGTATTCTTTGAACAACACGATACTCAAAAACATGTTTTTAATTTTTGTAAAAAAAATAAGTATTTTGTAAAAAAAATCATCACAATTGAGACAGGGCGGGTGGGCGGGCCTATATTTTGCCTTTTTGTTTTAATCTGTGTAGACTTATTTTCACAACATGAAACTGAAAGCTTGTTTAAAATAGAAAATTTGTGTAAGGAAATATAGATCTTAATTTGGCTCCGCCCCATAAATGTAAAATCCATATTTCTTTGCAAAAGTATACCATTTTACCATGTTTTAAGTTACTTGTTGTGAGAAGATGGCGATGTATATTAAGAAAAAACAAGGCAAAATAAAAGAATATTTCATGTTTTTGTGCCCAATTTTTGGCGGTCTTTAGAGCCCGAGGTACTTTTGGGATGCCTAAAAACTGGGATTTTAGGGTTTTGTCGTTTCATGTATTTTTCGGTCGTTTTGCAACGATTTTCCCTGCCCTGGTTCAGAAATAATATATTATAAACTATTCGAATTGTATAGCTTTCAGCTAGAACTCAATATAGTTCTTTAAGATTTTTACACTACGATCTGTTGCGTCTGACACAAAATCATTACTCACGTATAAAGCAAAACGCTTTATTTATAATTGAAATTGCATCGTAGGACACGTTTTGCACCAAAGCGAAGCCAAGGTTTTTACGTTCTGTATTTTACGTCAAAAATGTAATAGCTGTAGTTGTGCGGTAGACACTGACGGACGTGCACGTAATATGTTTACTTCTCAATATATTGCCGATTTCCTAAGTAGATTGGCAGTGATGACACAGACAGGATGTTGTCTTAAACTAATACGTGTTTCTGACCCTGTCTACGGATTCCGGTAATTGTCTAAACTCTCAGTCTACTACAGTTTTTTAGGTATAATAAAAGTAATAATTCTAATAACTGTGTGTGTTTAAATTCTACAAAAACGGTAAAAA